CACTATTTATAAACTTATTAACCTACTACAGATGCTAATGACAAAGTGCCTACTTCTTAATTTTCACTGGAAAATAAAGGTTAATAATAGTTAAAAATTATAATATGAAAAAACAGAACTAACAGAAACAAGAGTGAAGTAAAACAATTTTGTATATACAAAGTAGGAGACAAAATGGGATGTATTTTTTAATGAAGAGTATGCAAGGAATATAGGATGTGTTTTGTTAAGGAAAAAGAATGTCTAAAATAAAAAAATGGTCCAACAACAAGAAAGGAAAAAGAATAAGACAACATCTAAAGGGATATAGAAAGCTGCAAAAGGGAAAGAAATTTTATGTTGTGAGGTCAAAGCTGGCTAAATTGAATAGATTTATTTATAAGGGTTTTTTTAGATGATCTCAATAATGTACTGATGCAAAATTAGATTTTTAATTTTCTCTTTTTTAAAATCACAAAATTTCTCAGACTATTTGTCTGCTCTTAAAATATTATAAAAGATCTTTCTTTACCTTTAATGTAATCTGCCTAGGAAACAAAGATTCTGTGCCTTGGAAAATATTTCCATGCTTCATGTCATCTTAATCAGATATTTGGTTATTTAGGAAAACTAAGTCTTTTCAATATTGAAAAAGCTAAGGTTTTGGGGTTTTTTTGTTTGTTTGTTTTTTACAACTATGTAAAATTCAGTATTTACCTCTGAAATCCTGTGATTCTATATGATCAAGTGTTTTAAACCTTTTGACATTTCTGACAAACTTCCCAAAATCAAATTCTGAATCAAGTCTTTCTGACCTCAAACTAACTTTGGGATTTTCCAGAGGGCCCCCGGAAGATCTCAAGGGTTGCTCTTTCTCCAAGAGAAATGTTGATTTATTTAGGCTTATGTTAAGTTACAGGGGAAACACTGTCAGATTAAAAAGTAATAGTTAACCTTTAAAAAAATGCTTACAAATAAACCTGACTTAGGAGATAAAAGACTTATACACTGATAACTACAAAACATTGATGAAGGAATATAAAGAAGATTTAAAGAAATGGCAAGAGATCCCAGGCTCTTGGATTGGAAGAATTAAAATGGGCAAACTACCCAAAGAAATCTACAGATTTAACCAGTCCTATTAAATTATCCAGGACATTTTTCACAGAACTAGAACAAATAATCCTAAAATTTATACAGAATCAAAAAAAGACCCAGAATTGCCAAAGCAATACTGTAAAAAAAAGAATGAAGCTGGAGGCATAACCCTCCCAGACTTAAGACAATACTACAAAGCTAAACTAATCAAAACGTGTGGTACTGGCAGAAGAACAGACACATAGATCAATGGAACAGAATAGAGAGCCCAGAAATAAACTTACACAATTAATCTTCGACACAGAAGTCAAGAACATACAATGGAGAAAAAGACAGTCTCTTAGGTAAGTAGTGTTGCGGAAGCTGGACAGCCACATATAAATCAATAAAGTTAGAACACTCCCTCACACCATACACAAAAAATAAGTTCAAAATGGCTTAAAGACTTAAATGTAAGACAAAATACAATATTAATCTCCTAGAAAAAAACACAGGCAAAACATTCTCTGACATAAATCTTAGCAATGTTCCCCTAGAGCAGTCTACCCAGGCAATGGAAATAAGAGCAAAAGTAAACAAATGGGACCTAATTAAACTCATAAGCTTTTGCACAGCAAAGGAAACCATAAACTAAATGGAAATACAATATAGGGGATGGAATCTTTGCAAATGATGGGGCTGACAAGGGCTTAACTGCCAGAATATATAAACAGCTCATACAACTCAATAACAAAAAAACAAAGAACCCAATCCAAAAAAGAGGGCAGACAACCTAAACAGACATTTCTCCAATGAAGACATACAGATAGCCGATAGATATAGCTCAATATCACTAATTATCAGAGGAATGCAAATCAAAACTACAATGAGGTATCACCTCACACCAGTCATAATGACCATCATTCAGAAGTCCACAAACAATAAATGCTGTAAGAGGGTGTGGAGAAAAGGGAACTCTCCTATGCTGGTGGCAGGAACATCTGGTATAGCCACTCTGGAAAACTGTATGGAGATTCCTTAAAAAAATTTTAAAAATTAAAAACAGACTTACCATATGATCCAGAAATCCCACTCTTGGGCATATATCTGAAAAAAAATTCAATGTCCACAGCAGCACGATTTATGGAAGCAACCTAAATATCCATTGACAGATGACTGGAAAAAGAATAAGTGATACATGTATGCAACAGAATACTACTGAGCCATGAAAAAGAATGAAATAATGCAATTTGCAGCAACATGGATGGGCCTAGACATTATTATACTAAGAGAAGTAAGTCAGAGAAAGACAAATATCATATGATATCACTTACATATGGAATCCAAAAAAAAAAAAGGGACAAATGAAGTTATTTACAAAACAGACTTACAGACATAGAAAACAGACATATGGTTTCCAAAGGGGAAAGCCGGAGGCTAAATTAGGAGTTTGGGATTAACAGATACAAACTACTATAGATAAAACAGATAAAGAACAGGGTCCTATGGTATAGTACAGGGAAGTATATTCAGTATTATTTAATAACCTATAATGTAAAAGAATATGAAAAAGAACATATATATATTTATATATATATATACACATACATATGACTGAATCACTATGCTGTTCACCATAAATTAACACAACTATATTTCAACAATAACAAAAAAGTTGTAAAAACTTCAAATCATGACAAATCATTTTTTATATAGTTTCACAAAATACTTTCACATAATAGTTAATGATTTAACATCATTCTTTGAAATAATTTTGTTTAAAGAATTTAAAAACATTTTAGTGGCTAAAGAACTACTCAAATAGAAATTGTCAATGGAAGCAGAGCCTCACAAAGTGATAGAATCAACATAGATATATTCTGATCTTTTCTCAACACTGCAGGTCAAGGAATCCTCTTTAACAGAAGAATTTGAAGCAATTAGCTTATAAGAGAGTGGTATAAAAAGAATATTAACATATATTTTCACTGACAATTTTAACTTCCCACTATCTAAAATGTTTTTATACCAATATAAGTTTACTGAAAAGGCAGCTATGATGGTTGAGTAGACTAGAAGAAAAGCAAAGATAAATATTTGATTTTTATGGAGACTAGACTGTGAAAAAACCTGATGAATTAGCCCTATATTTTAAGATCCACCTCTCTGGTTAAATAAATACTTGTGTCTACCTGATGCAGATACCATAGAACCACACTAACAATCTGTTTTGCTTGGCAACCATGTTCTAAAATCAGTATAAATTAGGGTAGGCTAGTTTATGAGTAACAACAAACTCTAAAATCTCAGTTGACTAAACCAGTAAAATGTACTGACATCTGCTGCCCCAGGGTAACCAGCTCTATAACAACTAGTCTTTAATCTGTGACCCCAAAATAAGTTTGGTTATTAGGTTTTATTACTATTAACAACCACATTGATGAAAATAATGTCTTGCTTTTGTAAAGCTTTCTATGGTTCAAATGGCAATATCCTACACACTGTTCTATTTTTCTCAGTACCTGGGTGAGATGTTAATGGACTTAGATCTAAGGGTCAAAGGTATTAAATGACTTTCTCTAGTTTATTCAGTCCATAACCAGCAAAGACAGAAGAAACCAGCTCTTCCAAAAGCATTAACCTGGTGCCTTTACCACTAAAATAACAATAAAGGTTAAATTGTACTGAGCACATATTATATGCTAAGAACTGTGCTAGGTTCTTTCTATGCATTACTGAGTTTAATTCCCAGAGTAACACTGTAGAAGGGGTGTTATTAATACCCTTACTACAGAGATGAGGCAACTCAGCCTTAGAACAGCTGAGTACCATGCCCAGTCAGAAGCTGTTTTGGGGAGTCTGATTCCAAGGCCATACTGACTCAACACCCTACATTTATTATTAGTTGACACTCCCTCCACTTCAGACTTCTTACCAGAGACATTTCTTGTCCTATTTCCAAGGAAAAGCAGAAGAGGAAAGAAGTAAAGTGAAACTTAAAGACTGGCCTGAAGAAGAGTGAAGAGAACAAACCTGGGGTAAAAACAGCATGCTTGTTACTAGCTAACAGAGGCAACTGCAGCTGGGAGCAATGCCACCATCGCTTCTGTTTTAGGAAATAAATCCTTTGCTTGGCACTTGCCCACTCACCTTTGGTGGGTCTTCTCAGACTGTAAGTACTTCCTTACCACATCCAAACACTCATAAGAATCACCTTCCTTTCTAACTTACCATCCCAAACATGCTGATCATTCAGACCACTTTCTATATGTCCTTCACTTATCTATTGCAATCAATGTCTGAATAGACCGTAAGAGGCTAGAGGGCAGGTTCTGGGCTATTGTGAATAGAACCTAAAATGCTACCATAGTTCTCTCAGACAAACATTCCACGTACACATGCAAATACAGAAATATATCTTTTAAATTTGGGGGATTATTCTGATAATTGAGTATCTCCCCATTTTCTGCAGAAAACAAATTCACATATACTGTCTCATTGATCAATGTAACACAGCATAAATCTCTACCACTGTTCTATTTCCTGAACTCTACACCTCTCATTCATAGAATAGTAGAAATCTTGACCTTGCAAACATTCATTAATTTAATGCTTTCATGACCTTGTGCATGGTTTTCTCTGCTTTGAAAACTGTCCCAGCCTTCTTCAAATGTTTGATTTCCACTTATCCTCCAAACTCCAATCTCTAAACCTTTTTCTCATCCTCCTCAACCATAATCATTCAGTTCTCTTCTCCCAAATATCTATAGTATTTTGCTTATATATTGATTACAAAAATTAACACACTGCATTCCACTTAAGGTAATGCAGTAAAAATCTTTATAACCAGTTTTTTAATTTATTCAACAAACACTATATGGTTTTTCTTGAGGGCAGAGACTTTAATCTTCCCTGATCATTTAATTGTTTCAGCTCCTAGGTCCATAAAACTGGGAACTCTTCATTTACTTTTGTAATACTAAACCTGACACACTGAATTAATTGGAATAACAATATCTGTTATCATGTACTGAACTACCATATACCAGGGATTTTAGCTATTTTATTTCAATATATCCTTAAGAAAAAAAAATGTTTGGAGGGATGATTACTATATTTCTTTTACGTGTGAAGAAATTGAGTTTAGGAGTGATTAATTTGCCTTAATCCACACAAGAATTAACTGTCAAATCTGGGATTTCAATTCAGTTATGTTTTAAGGCAAGGTTTTTAACCACTATGTGCATGGTTTCTCAAAAAGCAGGTAGCTCAGCAAGTGGTAACTGAATGTTAAGCTTTTGATAAATAACTTGCTATTAAAGAATTAAATGAATTATGAGGAATAAAGCACTATTTTTGGTGCTAATGAGGATAGAAATATCCAATTCTATCTAAATTTTTTAAGATTTACTACATAGTCAATTTTCAAAACCAAAGCACTTTTTATAAACTATGTACATTGGATCACTACTACTTTTTGACTTAAAGATCTGTTTAAGACAATATTCTAAATATTCCATCAGAAATAGAATAAGACAAAAAGTTGATAATGAAGAAATTGGGGAGCAGTAAGTTAAACTGTTAGAAAACAGGTTATACAGTCCATACAAAGACCTAATCAAGGCAGAGAAACCACTCAAGGATTACATTAAGTAATAGGGTTAAGAAGAATGTAGTCTGAAAAAGTTGAGTATCCTCTAATAACTATAAGTACATGAGTTTCTAAAATGCCATACATAATATCCATGAAATTATGTTGCATAATGTAGTAACACGTTATGCTACCATTAACGCATTATAACTATGTCATTTGGAAGGCTAATTTTTCGTGTAAAACCACTTAACTACATAAAATTGAAAATAATGATTATTGTAACTACTTTCACTTTTCATCTTTAGAAGTTAAGGATTAAATACTCCATATGCAGTTATTTTATGATGATGTGTATTTTTATGGAGTGGTCATATAGTGTTCTAAGTAATAATTGTCTTAAAATTCCTAAATACATAAATCATAAGATCTTTTCACATATTATCATTATGAAAAGTCAAGGTAAGTCACTTAACACCTACTTAACAATGCATATAGAGTTGAACATAAAACTTGGATAAAATCTAAAAAGAAAACTACAAGTTTTGAGAAAAAACTAAGTATTAAAAAATATAAGGCCATTGTAACTGTTTAATAATAAAGCCTAATTCTCTTAGAAGCACCTATTCCCTTAAAATACTAATGTTCATAAATATTCTAAATTGTTTTTTAATGAAATAATTTGTTTTAGAGGAATAATCTCTACCCAGATTGGTTTTGTTAAGATTCCTGGGGAGAAAAAAAGAAGGAAAAGGGAGGGGAGCTGAGGTTTTTATATACAAGATTTATCTAAATCCATGTAAAATAGTATATTATTTTCTTCATTTTTAGGAATAAGAAAAATAAGACTGAGGTAAAAATTTGCTCAATGTCACAGAGCTAATATAGCCAAGAGAGATTTCCAAAATATCATGTGCCATGTATTCAGTCAGTGAACATTTATTAGGTATCAGACATGGCTCTAGATGCTGAAAGTTAAAAGACGTTGAAGACGAGGTTTCTATCCTTAAGAATCTCACCATACAGTGAAGGGAGACAGAAATAAACATATACTTGTAATGTGATGAGTAGTGTAAAGGACCCATCTTAAGACACTGTGGGAGTTTAATCTATGAAGTCTTCCTGTAATGTGGGTGTCACGACCAGGAGATTAGATTATGGAGAGTGAGGAAAGAAAGAACTGCATCTTTATTTGAACTTGTCCTTAAGTGTTTTTATTTACCTGCTATTTCCCCTTGTCTCCCTTCTATTTTATGGCTATCTAGGCTTGACTATATGACAGAAACTATTCTTTGTGAGCAAAAAACCCTGATAGTTTGCATGATATATGGCACATAATACAGTTGGCATTCAAAAAGCAAACAGTTTAGGATTTTTTAAAAATCCCAATTGTTAGCCTTCAAGAATACGTAAAGACTGTGTAAAGGCTCACAATAGAGTGTTCAAATGAAGATTAGACAGAAGAAAGCCTAAACGTAACTCACTTTGATAAACAATACTCTTACCTTGGTCATCACATTGGTCTCTCAAATCGCAACCACCAAGATTTCATGAATCTTTTGTGTTAAGGCTTCCTTCTTGAATTGATCATTGATGATCCCTATATTTAAGATATGAAAGCATTACAGATGGTCATGTACATTTTCTATCACATTTATTATAATTATTAGTTATATTACTAGCTATATAAATCTTTAAGATTGTTTATTAATGTATTCTTTTCAAGGATTTATGATTGGGATTCTTCACTCTTTTCTTTTCCTCTATCATATTTGTCATTTCTTTCTTGTTTTCTTATGGTTCAGATTATATATCAACCCAATTTTTTTTTGCATTGGAGTTGGCAACATTTCCCAATTATCAGCTGCAAATTTAATTAACATGCTGTTTATTTCTTCTTCCAGATAATTAATAAAGTTGTTAGAGAAAACTTGGATGAACACCAAACACCCCACCAGACAGCTCCCCTAAGTTGGATGCTCTGCCATTTATAATTACCTTTTTCTTATGGTCCTTAAGCAAATTTTCAGTGTTCATTCCAGAGCCAATTTAAATTAATTTGGAGGGAACTACTTTAAGAAACACACCAACTGTTCCATAGTCCCTTCTTAGATCTTTGATTCTGTAAAATATTTATACTTTATAACTCATGCCAAGTCTATATTAATGAAATTGAACATTTAAGCACAAGGAGAGAAAAATCTGAAAGTTCTCTAAGAGATCATGGTCTCAATAAACATTTAAGACAAAGTTCTAATTGCATTATTTATGAGTTAAATGAGAACATGAAAGAGGCATTTACTTTTCACCTTTTGC